TTCCAGTTAAACTCACTCATTTTACCTTCTGCACAATACAGTATAGGTGTTTATCACTTGCATGAAATGTCTGATCTATAAACCACCATACTGTACAACAGTCAAGCTGTATGTGAAATGAAGTACTAAGGGTAATACAGAAGGGCTTCAGTTACTGGAAAAGATTTTCTCAAAGTTGTCTGTAAAGTGGATTTCTAGTAACCAAATGATATTTATTTCATCATAAACAAGTAGTATTGTAATAAGGAAGATGATAGCCTAACAGTGAATGAAAATTACAATCAACATACACAACATTTTACCCCATCTTTTCTGTGATAAATATCTTTAAAAATAAAAAATTTGCATTCACTTGGAGCTGGATCTACAAATGGAAAAGGGACATGCCTCAGGGTTAAGTGGCCTTATGAATGTGAATCTGTAAATGAGGTGGTCTAGGAAACATGGGGCACCTCTCTCTGTGAAGCATCTCTCTATCTGAAGCAAACAGATTTCTTTACGTGGGACCCACAGATTCAACTGCAACAAAGCTCACCAGAGGCACTATTTACAGAGATAAAAAACTGAAAATAATCAAACTACATACTAATTGTGGAATAGTTAATTAGGTTATGGAATATTCACATGATAGCATATCGTTTAAAATTAAGAAGATATGAAAGTATATTTATTGACATAGAAAAATTCCCATAATTAACTTTTGTTGTTGTTGTTGATTAAAAAAACCTCAGAGCTCACTAGAAATTAGCTGTTTACTCTTAGGTGCAGAATTCAATGATACCTAATTGGTTAAGGATTTTAAAGCGGACTTGCTCTGTCAACTTAAGAAAGGCTGTCTCACTGTGCTGGGGCCTCCTCTAAAATATGGCAGCTTTCCCACCAACTGGAATATAAGAAACTCTTGAAATGATCAGTCCTCTAATTTGTTTCCTCTATACCTGGGTTGTTTCTTCCATATGGGTTTTCTTAAAATGGAGCACATTGCTGTGGCAAGAATGCCTAGTTTACATGACAAGATCTGTGAAATTTTATTAATGTGGGAAAAGGTTACAAAGCTGAGAAACTTGCAGTTAGTTTAAGATAGGATCATCTGTTAACATGAATTTTTTTATTTACTGTGGTAAAAATACATATAACACATTTGTCAATTCAACATTTTTGCACATATCATTTGGTGACACTGATTACGTTAATCATGCTGTGCAACTATCGATATATCCACTGCTAAATTTTCCATCACTACTAACACTCAATGCTCTTATACAATGACCGCCCTTCCCCTTCCTTCCACCCCTGGTAAACACTAACAAACTTTAGTCTCTATGTATTTGCCTATTTTAGATATTTCATGTAAGTGGGATCATACAGTATGTGTCCTTTGGTGACTGAATGATCTCTCTTAGCAGAATGTTTTCAAGGTTTGTTCATGTCAAAGCCTATATTGGGACTTCATCTCTCTTTATGGCTCAATAATACGTCATTATAAGTATATACTACATTTTGTTTATCCATTCAACATGAATTGTTTTTAATGTTTAAAGGAAATAAAAACGCAAGATAGACTGGTAAATACTTTTAATGCCCAAAACCCTCTTCCATCTTCATCAGTGGAGCACTCCGAGGGAGCAGACTAGAAGCAAAACCTCCCTTTTTTTTTTTGATAAATAAAATCAAGTATCTCAACTCAAAAGAAATTACCAAATTAAAGAGGGTATCACAGACATGAAAGATTAATGAAGATGAGTTTATTTTCATTCTTTGAAACTTATGAAAACAGAATCTTAAAAAAGATTTTTCTAATCAGAAGCTGAAGAGTATTCAGATACTTACTTGTAATGGCTGAAGCTTGAGATTCTTGTTCAGTCAATATTGAATACCCTAGATAACCCAAATACTCCAGGCACCGCTGTACATCTAAAAAGGTCGTAAGTCTAGGAAATGAGATTTTAAAATATGAAAAATTTCTAAGTGAGTATTTATAAGAAAAAAAGTTCCAATAGTGCTATGATTTTACCACTAGACCTAGATAACTACTGTCAGACTGCTTTCATTTCCCAGAATGAGCCTCCAACCATAGCTTTTCCTATAGCCATTCTTAAAGCAGAGGAGAATGACAAGATGGAGGGGGTTTTCTATATCTATTCCACTTGTCCAAAAAGGACAAGGCCACATCGATGAGTGGTAAGCCTCTGTAAAATTGAGAGTAGGGCTATTTCCAATTATCTGCTTTGCAAGTGATATACAGCATCCTGCAAATACTGGCTAGTTGAGGACATAATGATTAATTCAACAAATATGAAAGAGTTTATAAAACGCATAAAAATAACAAAAGCCACCTGAAATTAATAAGCCTATCTCAGGTACTTAGGGAAAAAAAAAATTCCAGTATTGAAAAAGTTAGTCTCCAAGGCTAAAGATTCCTTTAGCATCCTAGGACACAATGCCAACTATGCTGTAACTATAGACTGTGGGTAAATTCTAGGTCTTACTAAGAGTTCACCAAAAACTAAAACAACAATAAAACTCTCAAAGTAAGTCTTCAGTGTCAAGTAAAATATGTTTCTCCCCCTATTTTGAAAGTGTGAAAACTGTACAATAGCAATGACATTTCCTATTTCCTAATCAAACCACAAAGTACTAAAATTTACTTTGGTTCTGATGTAAGACTTATTACTGTTTCCATGTACATCAGCCAAAAGCCAACACATCCTTTCCCGACTCCACCTGGAATTCATCCTAGAGGAATCAATCGCACTACAAAACCAGTTCACAGGCAGTCATGGTTGAAGAATTTCCTAAGACCTGATGTTGTTAGGTGTCATCGAGTCAGCTCCAACTCACAGTACAACAGAATGAAACAATGCCCAGTCTGGTGCCAGCCTCACAATCCCTGCTACACCTGAGCCCATCATGGCAGCCACTGTGTCAATCCATCTTATTGAGGGCCTTCCCCTTTTTTTGCTGACCCTCTACTTTATCAAGGACATCATATATCCTTCTCCAGGGAATGGTCCCTTCTGACAACGTGACCAAAGTAGGTGAGATGAAGCCTGGCTATTCTCACTCCCCAGGAGCATTCTGGCTGCACTTCCTCCCAGGCAGATTGGTTAGTTCTTCTGGCAGTCCGCGGTACTTTCAGTGCTCCTCACCAGCACCACAACCCAAAGCATCAACTCTCCTCCAACTTCCTTATTCATTGTTCAGCTGTCACAGGCATGCGAAGCAACTGAAAACACCATGGCTCAGGTTAGGCACGCCTCAGGCTTCAAGAAGACATCTTTGCTCTTCAGCACTTTAAAGAAGTCTTTTGCAGCAGATTTGCCCAGTGCAACACATTGTCTGATTTCTTGATTGCTGCTTCCATGGGTGCTGACTGTGGAACTAAGTAATATGAAATCTTTGACAACTTCAAACTTCTCTCCATTCATTGTGATGCTGCTTATTGGTCCAGTTGTGAGGATCTTCGTTTCCTTTATGTTGAGGTGCAATCCATACTGTGGACTATAGTGTTTAATCTTCATCAATAAGTACTTCAAGTCATCCTCACTTTCAGTAAGCAAGGTTATGTCATCTGCATATCGCAGGTTGTTGATGACTCTTCCTCCAATCCTGATGCTGTGTACTTCTTCATGTAGTCCAGCTTCTCAGATTATCTGTTCAGCATACAGACTGAAAGTATGGTGAAAGGATACAACCCTGACCCATTCCCTTCCTGATTTTAAACCATGCAGTACCCCCTTGTTCTATCTGAATGACAGCCTCCTGGTCTATGCACAGGTTCCAGAACTACAATTAAGTGTTCTGGAATTCCCATTCTTCTCAGCATTATCCATAATTTGTTATGATCCACACAGCTGAATGCCTTTGCATAGTCAATAAAAAACAAGTAAACATCTTTCTGGTATTCTTTGCCTTCAGTCAAGATCCATCTGACATCAGCAATGATATCCCTCATTCTATGTCCTCTTCTGAATCCAGCATGCATTTCTGGAAGTTCCCTATTAATATATTGCTGCAACCATTTTTTAATTATCTTCAGCAAAATCTCACTTGCATGAGATATTGATACTGTTCTATAATTTCCACATTCTGTGGGATCACCTTTCTTTGGAATGGGTTCAAATATGGATCTCTTCCAGTTAGCTGGCCAGGTAGCTGTCTTCCAAATTTCTTGGCATAGATGAGTAAGTACCTCTAGTGCAGCATTAATTTGCTGAAACATCTCAATGGATATCCCATCAATTCCTGAACCCATGTTTTTCGCCAATTCCTTCAGTACACCTTCAACTTCTTCCTTCAATACCATCACTTCTTGATCATATGTCACCTCCTGAAATGGATGAACATCAACCAATACTTTTTGGTACAGTGACTGTGTATTTCTTCCATCTTCTTTTATCTTGCCATTTCTTTCATCTGCTTTAGCTACTCTCCATTCAAGAGCAACTTTCAGAGTATTTTCTGACATCCATTTTGGTCTTTTCTTCCTTTGCTGTCTTTTTCATGACCTTTTGCTTTCCTCATGGATGATGTTCTTGATGTCATCCCACAATTCCTCTGGTTTCGGTCACTGGTGTTCAATGTGTCAAATCTACTCTTTAGACAGTCTCTAAATTCAGGTGGAATATGTTCAAGGTCTTATTTTGCCTTTCATGGACTTGTTTTAATTGTCTTCAGCTTCAATTTGAACTTGCATATATGAGCATTTTGATGGTCTGTTTCACAGTCAGCTCCTGGCCTTGTTTAGGCTGTAGATAGTGAGCTTCTCCATAACCTCTTGGCACAGATGTGGTCTATCTGACTCCTGAGTATTCCATCTGACAAAGTCCATGTGTATAACCACCATTCATGTTGCTGAAAAAAGGTATTTGCAATGAGTAAGTCACTGGTCTTACAAAATTCTATTACGTAATCTCCGGCATCATTTCTATCACCAAGCCCATATTTTCCAACTACCAGTGCCTTCTTCTAAGTCTGTCTTAGTCTGGAAGCTCTGCTGAAACCTGTCCACCATGGGTGACCCTGCTGATATTTGAAATAAGATCTGATAAGCTCTTATGAACATAAAGCACCATCATTTTAAAGTTGCTGTAACTCTAGAGGAAAGAGGTGAGTGCTATACTCACGTCCACTGGGAAAGGAATCCTTGATAGGTTATCCAGCCTTTTTCATTGGTACAGACGGTGTTATTCACATCTGGTCCCCAAGGTATGTAAGGGAAAACTTTAAATAAATCTTTAAGCTCATCAGGTGACAAAGCACAATCTCTATCCTGAAGATGCAAAAGGAAGTATACATAATATTTAGATATCGAAGAAAATAATCCCCAAATATAAGAGCCCCATAGTCTGATCAAGCTAAGCTTCTAAAAAGTGAGTAATACAGAGAGATGCAAATCAAAACAACAATGAGATACCATCTTGCTCCAGCACTAGTAGCAAAGTTCAACAAGACAGAAAATAACAAATGCTGGCGAGGTTGTGGAGAGATTGGGACTCTCATACACTGCTGGTGGGACTGTAAAATGGTACAATCATTGTGGAAAGCAGTATGGCGATTCCTTCAAAAGTTGGAAATACAAATACCATTTGACCCAGCCATCCCATTACTAGGTATATACCCTAAAGAAGTGAGAGCCATAACAAGAACAGATATATGCACGCCGATGTTCATCGCAGCACTATTTACAATAGCCAAAACTTGGAAACAACCTAGATGTCCAACAACTGAGGAATGGATAACCAAACTTTGGTACATTCACACAATGGAATACTATGCAACGCTAAAGAATAATGTAGAATCTGCAAAACACCGCATAACGTGGATGAACTTGGAGGACATTATGCTGAGCAAAATAAGTCAGTCACAAAAGGACAAATATTGTATTAGTCCGTTATTGTGAAAGTTAAGGAAAGGTTTATATATTGGAGGACATTTTCTTTGTTGGTTACCAGGGGTGGGAGGGAAGGGGAGGGAATGCTGTTAGATAGATAGAGATAAATATTGATTTGGGTGAAGAGAAGGGCAATGTACCAAATGTGAGTGACCAATATGGCAGCATTGAGGATGAGAAAGACAGAGAGAGTTACATGGGCAGTACAAACAACAAATATGAACCCCTTTGTAAATGCAATACTGAGTTGTCAATGAAAGCAAACATGGGTATAGGGACGGATAGATGAGTGAACAAGCTAAACAATTATGTATGTCTAAATGGAGAGTGTATCCAAGATCATATACAGGGTTGGCAGACAATGGGCCTCTCGAAGAGTATGAAGGGATGGACACTGGGAGGAGGTAACTATGGGGAGGAAGTGGGAGGGGAGCTGCTGCATTGTAAATTTTGGTCAATGACATGAGACAAAGTATATGTGAACTGCTGTATGAAAAGTGAATTTACTCTGTAAATCTTCACCCAAATCCTAATAAAAAAAAAAAAAAAGTGAGTAATACATGAAAACTAATTTTACATTTTATGAAGAAATTATCTTTCATACATATTGAAAAAATCTATCAAGGAGGCTTATCAGAGACAAGAATTTTACATCTTGAGAAAAGAAAACAAAAACAATTAGCAGAAAATAGTTTTGCAATTTAATTTAAAAGAGATTTTGAGCAATTTTTGGCTATGTGACATGAGCATTCCACAACTAAGGAAACAGTTCACGGAAAAATGTTTTACCATATATTGTGGAAAACTGCAGCTCAAAGCTTACCAAATCATGCTTGTCAAAGGTGCTCTGGAGAAACAAATATGCATGATGATTTAACTCAGTAGTGCAATCAGGAGGTATTTTTAGCCTGTTGATGAAAAATTTAAGAGTAAAATAAATAATCAAATATTTAATTTAAAAAATGAATATAAAACTACAGAAGTCTTTTTGTGGGTGACAACATCTTACAAAAATATCTTCACTACAGCCATCTGGACTTCCCTGGGAGAATCTCTGGCATTGTTATGGCAATCCTCAGAAATGTCACAGTGCATGAGTTGACACGCAAAGTTTTCTTAAATATCAGAAATAAAAACTCATTTCAAATAATACTGATTCAACTGTAATGTGCTTATTCTTCAAAAAAATTCTAACTCATAATTATGGGCTTTATATTAATGTCAGTAGTGGTGATGAATGTAGATTATGTGAAAAGAGGTTACATCTGCCTAATTTGACCTTTTTGACCCACCTTAAATTCAGTTCAATAAACAAATGCACTGAGCTAGGTACAAGGGACACAAAAATAAGACAGCTACCTCTCTAAGGAACCACATAACTGACCACAAAGACAATGAGTTACATGCAAGTATGAGTAAGGATGCTAGGAGAGCCCACATGAAAGGGAAATGTTTGACTTCAGGGTGGGAAGGTGTCAACATCTCTGAGAGACACTGTCTGAAATGAGAGGCATTAACTCGGTTGGAGGAGGAGGAGAGAGTGAAAACAGCACGGACAAAAGCCTGCAGTAGAAGACACATGTTTGGTGGCCTATGAGAATCAGCACTTACTTCCAGAATGGAGAGTTTAACTGGTTTATTTCTGGTCTCTTGACATCAGAACAACTTTGTCTAGCATTTCTGTTTTCACCTTCTTCGGTAATATGAATTTAGAAAGATACTTGTACTCTCCCGAAGAGAAAACATTTGAAACGTGCTATAAACCATGACTTGGAATTGACTAAGAGGCAACTGTTTTGTTACGTTTTGTTTTGTCAGTGCCTCACAACCAGGGATGATTTTGCCCAAGGGGGCATTTAGCATTTTTGGATGTCAAAACTGGGGAAGGAAGTGCTACTAGCATCTAGGGAGGCACTAAACATCCTATAATGCACAGGGCAACATCTACAACAAAGACTTATCTAGTCCAAAGTGTGAATAATGTCAAGGCTGAGAAACTGTGCTATTAATCGGAATTATTTCTGAGTAGCTTGAAGCCTACCTATGTATGTGCTAAATAAAACTTAAAATTAGCAAATAAAATCGGTCAGAAAAGCAAAGGTACATACAGGGGAAACAAATATTCAGGTGTCAAATCCAGATCATCATCATAACCAAATCGCCGAAGCACAGTCCAAGTAGTTTCATGCCTCCCTCTCTGAATAAAAAGTGTGTGTAAAAAAAGAAAACCTGAAATAAAGTAAATTAGTAAATACAATTGATGTGAAGAAAGATATAGAGTCATAAGGAGAAAAGCATACAACACACAATGGCAAGAGCTAGATTCATGGACATCATCTATGACTGCCAGTACCGCGAACCCAGGATCAGGACAAAATAAAGCTCACAAGTGTCTTAATAAAACAGAGCCAAATTCAGAATTGTTATTTCACATATACAACCATTCCAACAAGTGCAAGTCCTGGATAAAAGGGCCAAAAATATACTGACATTCACAAAGTTATTAGAAACAGATGAAATGGTTTTATAGAGCTTTCCTCTTATTTCTATAATGGAAAATTCTAGTGTTCAATTTCCTTTCCTTTTTCACTGTGATTCTATAATACGTGCTACAGGGAACACTGTGTACTTGGTAAGTCTGACTGATAAAGTATCCTTCCTAAAAATAATTTCTACTTAAAGACTGCTTCTGAGTAGGAAGAATTTGAAAACAAATGTTTGTTCCAGTATTTCTTTCCCTTAGATGGACCTCAGCATGCCTGAGATCCAACCAATTTCCTTACCCCTAATTTATACTGACAGGAAGGATAATTATCTCACCAATTGCCTTGGCTCTTAAATGGCCAAGACACACTGCAGGCATATTAGTATTTCCTTAAAGTATAAGTAATGCTACAGGACCTTCACCTTCTGCCAAGTGTCTACCTACCTTTTAGTGTCAATCCACTGTCAGCCACACCATCACTTATATGTTTTCTAACCACATTCTTGACATCCTCCAGAGCTTGAGGAGCTAATGGGGTGTTAAAACAAATTCTCTAGCAAAAACATAAACAATGGATTTAAAATTAAATCAGCATTAAGACCATAAATAACATAAAATATTAATCTTCAAACCAATCATTAAATCAGAGTTGCAACCAAAAGAAGCAATATATTGCAATAGTCTCCACTTGGTATTATTTAAGCAAAACACATCATACTTAGAAGGAAAGAAACTTTCCCTACTCCCCTCATCCCATTTCTAAACACAAGGCTCTTTGTGTAACTGTGTTATACACAACTGAGAAAGCAAAATAATTTGGAGTTCAGACTTCAAGTTATCCTTAATACATTCATTATATACTGTGAAATAAGACTTATCAGAGAGGCCCAGCAATATCTAGGCATAAGAGAGTTCTATACTCTAGGCAAAGGCTTATATAGCTTGATGTGAGAGATAGTTTCACATGAAAGAGACACATTTATTAACGTATTATTGTCTAGGCTGATATATTTTTTGTATCTTATACAGTAAAGAGATCTTCATATACAAATGACTGAAATAAAAGACAGCTACCTGAAAGAAATTGAGTTCAGCATCATTCAGAGTACCATCATTATCTTGATCAGATATTTTAAATATACGAGTAAGGGCTTTTATACAGGCTGGTTTCATCTACAAATCATGAAGAAAAGAAACAGTTGTTTTCATTAAAATAGTTGGGACTTGCATGTTATTTTTGTGACTAATGCTGGGAATAATTTCTGATGGTTTTCACCGCCAAATACATAACATCAAACACAATCAGTATGAAAAATGAAAGGCGTTTACTTTTACCCTCAAGTGTTAAGTAAACGTGGCAATATCTACTTGCAACAGTATCTGGAATGGTCAAGTTCTCCCTACAGAACTCCAGGGGAAACTGACTCTTCTAGTCATGTAAAGAAGTCATGTACACTTATCTATGTACGCCCTCCTTTGATCCAGAAGGAACTTGAGATGACTCAAAGCAACCACGGGCTTCCTCCCTAACTTCGGATTTCTCACCATTAACCTTCTGGTAGCAGAATGGAACTAAATGTTTTTTCTGTTCCTTGTGCATGTATGTCAGAGTTGGACTGTAAAATGTGCACATTCACACAAGTGGCAAAATAGCACTAGTTAATAAGTGTGAAAGCCCCTTCTAATTATGAACTAAGAATTACTTTAAAAAAAAAAAAGAAAAACTTTCACCTTTTGTGATTCTGTAAAATTTTTCTAAGTTATCCTGCTGAAAATACATTTTGACAACCTCCCAATTTTTGTTCTAAGATTTATGATGGTTAGAATATATTTTGACTATTTGAAAATAAGGTCCATATGCCTCTAATCTATATTAACTGTATAAGATCATCAATGCCAACAATTTTGAGAATAAAATCAACCTTTCAGGAAGCTCTCTGAACTTTGTATAAACTCAGGAGAGACCTCCTGAACCCACATGAATCAGAGAAACAGGACGGCAAGGTCTGTAAAAGGGTACAACAGCAAAATCACACTGACGACAGTTGTGATCATGCTATCAAACCCAAACAGAGAGAAGGGATTCTTTAAAGAACAGGCGAGGGGTAGTGATTTTCCCAAACATACACAGACAGTCTCTTCTTCAAAAATACTAAACAAGGCCTCCGGGGGGCAATTTGACATAGTGAGAAAAAGATAAAATTAAGATAGAAGGGCATTAGAAAGAAATTAAAAAAAGCTAAAAGGAACATTTAGAATGCATTGGACAGGGTTCCCTTTATAAAAGAGTACTAATGGAATAAAACCTAAACAAACAAACAAACAAACAAACAAAAAAGGTGGTTTTCTTTCAAAAAGTAAAGAATGTTAAGATACTGCTTCTATAAATGTTACCCAAATATTAGATATTCAAGATTAATAAAGACTACATTGTTATATTTTATTTACTCTGTTAAAAAATGTTATACAGTTATCTAAATGTTTCAAAAGGTAGCAACAGCTGTAACAATGTACAAAACAGAACCTAAAAATAACTTTTTACTTTGTACAAGTGGCTTTTCCTTGCATCATAAAAAGCTACATTAAAAAAAAAAAGTTCATGAACTGTTGAAAATGTAAAACAAATTTGCTTCGTAAATTTGTACAATAAAAGCACAATAAAATTTAAATAAATAAATAAAAGTTAACAAACCTTATAACATTAAAAAAAAAAAGAAAGAAAGAAATGTGAAGAAAACAACAAAGACTCATTTATCGTTAAAGGCTGAAATGCACCCTGAAACTAAGGTACGACAAAGTATTAGCTCAATGTGATCGTTAACACTGTGTGTGTGTGCGTGCGTGTGTGTGGGTGTTATGTGCTGTCTAGTCTAAGCACCTTAAAAAAGAACACCAAAAAATGATGACTTTTTAAATCATTAAAAATTATACCTCAATAAAGCTGTAAAATTTACAGTAATAAACCAAAAACATTTTATACATGAATAAAGAATAAACATTATTACACAAAAGTCATAGATTTTTCATTATTAGATAAATAGAAGATACTAGTAGCTGGTCATGGGACACACAAATTAATAAATAGCACTAGAAACATAACACAGGCTTTAATTTTGAACATGATGTTTTTGATGATTCAACCTTAAATCTGTGTCAAAAGCTTATTATTGCGATCTAAATAAAAGATTCTGATATAAACTTAGACTTGAAGCTTGTACTTGTGTAAAACAAGGTGGTCTCTAAAAGTTGCAGGTTTTACCTATCAAGCATGTCCACCTAAGAAACAAGTAACAGACGGGAGTAGATGTTTCACTCTCCTGAGACTTGGGGCTGGGGGGATTAGCAGATTAGCAGAACTAATAATAGGTCTGAGAAAAAGAGCAGCAATGAAGGAATTAAGAGCAAACTAAGAGAGGAGATTTAATGTACAGCTGGGCTAAAGCCTCAGAGGTAAATCCCTAAAGCGTGAGATGAAGACTTTCCTAATTTTGCTTGATCAAAAATACAACACTTGGCTGAATCAGAACAGAATCTATATTTTTAACAAGTGATAATTATTATGAGGCAAATTTAGGAAACAACAGATAACAAGTAAATTAGAAAAAAGTATTCGAATGAAAGAATAGTAAACCAGGAATAAGGAAGAGTAAAAAACTAAAGTCAGATTTAGACTAATTACTTATACTAGGGGTTGGCAAACTTTTTCTGTAAAGGACCAAAAAAAACCAAACTCACTGCCATGGAGTCAGCCCCGACTCACAGCGACCCCTCCTCGGGTTTCTGAGGCAGTATCTCTACAGAAGTAGATTGCCCAGTTTTCCTCAAATATTTTAGGTGTTAAAGGCCAATGGGAAAAACAAAGGTATTATGTAGGTACTTATAAAGCAAGAGAGAAAAATTTTGCAATTTTTTTATTAACAAATTCAAAATATAATAACTGAGTATAAATTTTTGTAAGACAGCACTATTAATAAGAATGGAATTCCTTTTAAAGAGGTAAAACTTCACTTAGTTAACTGGGGTTCAAAGTTTGTGTTCTCTACCTTGAAAATTGATTGTAAATGTTCACCTGTGGATATTGATCTATGATGAAACTTTATGCTTTTCATCTTTTGAAAATGTCATTTTGCACAGCCATCAATACTGAAATATATACACACACACATGATTTTAACTGAGCACATTCATCATCGCACTGCTGATTAATCAGTTCCAACTGAAGGTTAGGTAGAAGCTATTTAACTGCCTAGTTACATGGATTATGAAATATGGAAACTTCCTTTGCAATTGCATCAAGGTCCAAAAAAATGCTGCTGGAACTGTAATTTAAGCTCAGAAAATATATCTGCTTTGCCAAGTAAAAATCCACTTTTATCTTTTCTTGTTTCGACATAATGGGTATGCACTGAAGTAAAAACATAAAACGTCCTGGCATAGCGATACACATGGTACCTGAACTACTGTTGAGCGATAACTATGTTGACGCACTCTGTAATATAATGAGCAGCAAGAAGAAATGAAAGTAGCACAACAATCTGTCACAACTACTCTACAATGTTTTTGTAGCACCCAAGCAGCTTTAAGTAATATATAAACAATGAGCGTGGCTTTGTTCCAATAAAACTTTTATCTATGAACAATGAATTTTGAATATCATATAATCTGCACATATCACAACATATTATTCCATTTGATTTTCTTCCAACTATTTAAAATTTGCCTCATAGGTTATAGTTTGTCAACCCCTTGACTATACTGTAGGAGCTCTGGTGGCATAGTGCCTAAGGCATTTGACTGCTAACCAGAAAGCTGGAGGTTCAAACCCACCAGCCACTCCTTGGAAGGAAGACTGGGCAGCCTACTTCCATAGTGATACTGCCTCAGAAACCCAAGGAGGGGGCACTATGAGTCAGAATTAACTCGACAGCAGTGAAGTTTTTTTTTTTTTGATTATACTGTAAACATCTCCTGAAAAAAGAAAAAAAAAAAAAAGGCAACTTACTATGTTTCTTAGCTACGAAACAAGAGGGAATATTCAAGTTATAATAGCATGTTATGCCCATGTAAAAAATCTACGTAATTTTTCTGTTTATATGTTTTTAAGTGTGTGGATTTTACTGTAGCAAAGCAAGTACACAATTAGCAAATGGGCTGTTTTGGTTGTTATTCTTGCAAACTCTTCTGCTGTAAGGTATTTGCTGACAATATTTGATCTGGAATACTATTCTGAGTATTTAACATAAATATCACCGCATCTCTGAAGAAAAGTATCATTAAGATCCAACAATTTAAAAACCATTCAATTAACATTTCAGCAGTTTCATTTTCACAAAAACAATTAAGAATTACTAAAAATCATGACCATAGTAGACTTACTACCTACACATTCCAGCCCCTACAAACACAGCTTGGGGGTTACCTCCTTCTCCTCTGGGCAGTACAGGGGCCCTGTAGGATGAAGAACAGCTTTCTGTGCGTAATAAAAGAGCTCTGATATGTTCTTCAAGTTTTTTGCTGAACACTGAAAAAAAAGTTTAAAATTTTACAATGTGAAATCAATTGCAAGAGTGAAAATCAATTTTAAAACTATCAATATGTAAGGTAAGAAGAGGATTCCTTGAAGAAACTGAAAAATGTATTTTTCTTTGTGGATATCACAATAAAACCAAACCTACTGCCAAGGAGTCGATTCCAACTCATAGTGACCCCCAATGAGTTTCCAAGGCAGTAAATCTTTACGGAAATAGATTGCCCCATCTTCCTTCGGCGGGGTGAGAGTGGATTTGAACTGCCAATCTTCTGGTTAGCAGTCAAATGCCTGAGGCACTGCACCACCAGAGCTCTGGATATCCCAATAGGAATGACTTAAAGGGGCTCAGAGGTTAACTTTAGGTTCTGGTTTTATTTGGTTTACACGATTTCACAAAGAACAGAAAATTTATTCTATACTGTGCTTTCTCCTTCCCCACCCCAAACCTCAATTTAGTGAGATTTCATCAAGAGTAAATTTCCAAATCAAATGATGAGGCATACCTCCACACAGGTTTCTATTTCTGTGTACTGGTTCATAATAGGAAGGATGGTCTCCATACTACTATAGTCCACCAGATCAGATTTATTTCCAACCAATATCAAAGGCAGCCTAAAACAAATGGGGCACATTATAATAAGGAGGACACAAGATTTAAAATTATATTTTAGTTTATAAAAGCTTTTATTCCTTCTCGCCAAAATGAACCTTCTACTATCAGGCCAAGCCCCCTAAACAGCATGCTCATTCAACAAATATTTATTAAGTGCCTATTACATGCTAGGTACTGTTCTACATGTTTAAGGACACAAGACAGATAAGGTCCATGTCCATTCTAATCATAAAAACAAAATGAGCAATAAACAAATGAGACAATTCTAATTCACTAAGTACTATGAAGGAAATAAAGAGGGGGATGTGGGCTAAAGTAAGAAGAGGGGTCTAATTTAGACCTGATAATCAGGGAAAAATTTCTCTGAGAAGTGGCATTTGAGCCCAGGAGCAAAGGATGAAATGGAATCCGCCACCTGAATGAAGAGCCAGGAAAGAGCTCACCAGGCAGAAAGGACAGCGTGCACCAAGGCCCCAAGGTGGAAAAAAATACATATCTATCTATCTACTGGTGAGTTCAAAGAACAGGAAAATGCCAGAGTTAACTGAAGAGAACAGAGCAAATAAATAAATAAATGGAAAACACGGAACTCACTGCCGTCAAGTCGGTTCAGACTCACAGCGACCCCTCCAACTCACTGCCGTCAAGTCGGTTCAGACTCACAGCGACCCCTCCTCAGGTTTCCAAGGTGGTATCTCTACAAGTAGACTGCCCAAAATTCCTTCCAAGGAGTGGCTGGTGGGTTTGAACCTCCAGCCTTCTGGTTAGCAGTCAAATGCCTTAGGCACTATACAACAAAACCCCCAAAAAACCCCCAAAAAGGCAAACCCATTGCCATCAAGTTGATTGTGACTGATAACAACCCTGTAAGACAGAGCAGAACTGTCTCATCGGGTTTTCAAGGCTGCACTCTATGGAAGCAGATTGCCACATCTTTCTCCAGTGAAGTGGCTGGTAGGTTCGAACCGCTGAACTTTTGATTAGAAGCTGAGCACGTAACCACTGCACCACCAAGGTTCCTTGAGCAAAGGAAAAGAGGTACAAAATGGGTTTGGAGAGAGGAGCAACATCCAGATATGAGGTCTTATGGGTCACAGTAAGGAGTATGGATTTTACCACAAGTGTAAAATGGGGAGAATGTGAAGGGTTACAAGCAGGGGAATGACATGATCTGGCTGACATTTCAAAATGCAGTGGTCTGCTCTCTTTCAGAGATACAAACTGAAATCTTCACAGCATGATATATTTGCTTTGTTTCAAAATGATCCCGAAGGGAGAGGAATAAATCAATGAGACTGGCCATGAGGTAATAATAGTTAAAGCTGGATGACAGAGACACAGGAATTCATCATGTGAGTCTCTCGACTTTTACGTATGTTTGCTTTTTTTCAGTAATATAAAGTTTTTGAAAAGTGGTGGCTTGGGATTAGTGCAGTGATGGTGAAGATGGAGAAGACTTGTTCAGATTTGAGACACATTTTAGAAGCAGGATTGATAGAATTTGCTGGCAGATTAGATATGGAAGGAAGGTGAGGGAAAGGCAGAAATCAAGGAAAAAAACATAGGTTTCTGGCTGGAGAAAATGGGAAAATCTCCTGTGACAGAGAAGACTGAGATAATTTGGGAGGGGGTTGGTAGGCAGGGGATTAAGGATTTTGTTTTAGACAAGTTTAACCAGGGAGGCCTGTTAGATATCCAAGCAGAGCTATCAAGAGGACTAGCCTACAGGAGAAGTGTTACTTGTGAATCTTGAAAGAGAACATGGAGAGAAGGCCAGTCCCCTTGCTGGAACTCAAAGTCTCAAGAGAAAGACTTGTAAGCATCTACAGTTTACCAGCTTGGTATCACCATTACTCTTAAAAGAACTGGCCCACTATGCAACTAAAACAAAGACTGCTAACAGAACCAAGAAGGTTTCCATAAATGGAGTGGTTTATAACCAAAAGTGTCCACCAGAATAATTTATGGAGCTTTAAAAAAAACACTGATGTCCAAGTTCTACACTAAAACCCCAGGCATGGGACTAGGGCACCTATAATTTTTTTAAATTGCTTCACGTAATAGTGATGGGCATCCCTAATTATAATGACTATGGTCCAAGGAATTCCTAAGGAAGAATATATATTCAATATACAATTCTAAACAAATATATTTATATAAATACATATAAATATTCAATATACAAATATAAACTTAAGGCATGAGGCCCAGGGGAGAAGGTATTGGATTTATAAAATCCACACAATAAAGAAATAGTCTCCCTTGGGACAAGTCAACCACAAGAAGAATAAGTATGTTCACCAACTCAGGGACAGGCTTGTCTGATTGTGGACCACAGCCACAACTGAGAACGCTAAACTGGATCTTCAAGTATCAAAAATCACTTCCACATGGTACTCAAAGGACCATCAAACACCAAACTAGCCACAGAATTTTGGAAAGCCATCATACTAAAATTTTAAAAATTTAATTCAGTAGTCCTAGCTAGTGCTTATTAAATCTTGGCAAAACTGGCCTTCTCTGAAGAATGCCTCCTGGAAACAGCTTAAGACATGAGCAAGAACAGCAGGTTTTAGGAGCATACGGGTATTGGATCCTTCAAGGCAGCCCTGACAAGTACAACCTTCTGGAAAGATGGAAATGTTCTTTATCTGCATTGCCCATTACAACATGTAGCTGCTGAGCACTTGAAATGTGACTAAGTACGCCAAAGCACTTGAATTGTGATCTGAGTGAATATTTGCAAAGCAAATTAGTTTTCCATTCAACAACATATACACATTTTGTTTCATGACATTCATTGCAATCCCCACAATGTAACAGCATTCTTCCCACTTCCTCCCCATGTTTACCATTTCCCTTTGTCCTTCTTTCCTATCCCTCATTGCTTTTAGCTTTATCCTTCGGCAAATGCTGCTTTTTGATCTCACATGTTGACTGTTCCAGTAAGTGCGTTCCTCCTTGGTGTTATTCTTTACCTTAAAGGCCTGTCCATCATCTGGCTGAGAGCTGAGCCACAGGGGTGAGTTAGCTTCCAGGCATGAAGGGTGTCTAAGGGCCATAGTCTTGGTGATTCCAGCAGTCCCTATCAGATTAGTAAGCCTGGGTCTTTATGACTTTGAGTTTTGTCCTACATTTTTCTCCCACTCTATCCAGGACCTCCTACTGTGATCCCTTTCAGAGTGGTCAGCAGTGCTGGCCGGGCACCATCTAGTTCTTCTGGTCTCAGGGTCACAGAGGCTGGGAAAGAACTGAATTTTTAAGTTAAACTAACACAATTGACTACAGGGCAGCAGAGCTCTAGAGGCCAACTCTTTCCTTCCTGTCTTGTCAGTAAGTCACTATCAAGTTCAACACTATTTTAAAGAGGGGCCCCTGCTGTGTCAGACCTACAAGACACAGCATATACACCAACATCTCAGTCACAAAGGTCAATGACCACATTCATCTGTTTAGAACCAAATCTTCAGAGTTTCAAAGCATGAAATGTCCCACTTAAAAAGAAATTAAGAATCAGTACATGTACACATAGATATTAAGTCTTTAATGTCTACATGTTTAAAAAAGACTCAAATGTTTCATAAAAAACTTACGCTCTATTAAAGAATACTGAAAAATGTTTTATTTCCATTTTGACCTAAAATTCAAAATATTTATACCCAGAAAGAAGTGCCATTCTTCTCAAATAAAACAGAGAAGGTGTATCCTCTTGCTTTTTCCCAATCACACACATATGAACCAAGGAAATCTCCCTACATGAATTCCTAAATGAAGACCTCTAGAACTTTAGAGCATTTGCACAGTGCTTACACTATACTGGCATTATTTCATTTGGTTCTCAAGATAACAACATAGAGCCAAGACAGATTAGCCTCATCTCCTCTTACAGATGAGGAAACTAAGACTCAATGAAGTTGAAGTCCTAGAGCTCCTAGGCCAAGCCAGATTTCAAAGGTGATTCGTTTGCTTGAGTCTTGTGCTCCTAACCACACCACAGTGTGAGAATTCAGTGACATAAGAGAATACCATTCCTCAGCAGAGGGGAATCTCAAGACAGGGATCAAGAAAGGAAAACATAAAACTTATTTTCAAAATATTTAATGTTTGAAATTGTAAATCACTATAGTATCAGAGCTGTTTCAAGCTTTGCTCTCAAATTCTTAAGGAAAAAAAGGAGTATGTACAAACAGATCAATAAAGCAAATATGACAAAATGTTAAACAACTGGTGAATTTAAATGCAGGGTTTATGGATGTTCATTGTACTATTTCTTGATCTGGAAGTTGGAAAATTTTCAACATATGAAGTTTGAAGAAAAAAAAAATACCTGCTATCTTTGTCTGTTCTTTCATTGATGAGAGGAATCCATCGACTTGTTACCTAAAATGAAAATTAACAAGAGCAAAGATATGATGGGAACCTTCTTAGAAAAACACCCTGCTCCTGGGCCCCTAAAATTCTAAGGTGAGGATCAACTTCGAGAGTGTCCCCACTGAAATTTAACTAAATATGGTGAAAGAAATTCACGCACTCATACCTTATCAATAGAATGCTTGTTGTTAACAGCATAAACTATGCAGATGACATTAGCCTAGGACAAAGATGAACAAGTCAATGGTATTTTTAATAATAAAAATGTAAACAGTAGCATGTAATTACCAACTAGTTAACATATTTGGGCTAAAGGAGAAGGACAAATTTGAAAACAGAAAGAAAACTTAGCTTGACTCTCAGAAGAAAAATTTCTTAAGGATTTACAGCAAAAGTATATACTCAAAGTCAGTTATATCAACAAAAAACTAAAGAAACCTTCTTGAGAAAATAAAAATGGTAAATATATAGGGTCATTACTGTCTTCTCACCAAAAAACCTACAACAATTACACAACCTAAGACTCACCTGTGATATTTCCTGATGAAGTTGCTCATCACTCTGTTCCGCTTCTATAAATGACCAAAAAAAGTATACATTTTTAGGGGGGAAATGTCAATGTTTCTTATTTTAAACACTTTCATTAAAACTACTAAACCAAAAACTCACTGCTATTGAGTTGATTCAACTCAAAGCAATCCCTCCTTGGGTTTCTGAGGTGGTATCTCTATGGAAGTGGATTTCCCAGTCTTCCTTCAGAGGAGTGGCTGATGGATTTTAACCGCCAGTCTTCTGGTTAGCAGTCAAATGTCTTAGGCACCAAAGCCTAAAAATCTATGCAATACCCACCTAACATCCCTCAAAATGACAAGGTGCAGTGCTTGAGTAGAGAACAAAGACAAGGGCAAGCCAGGGAAGGGAAGGAGTCAAACTACGTATGACAGAGAAGCTGGCTGGCACTGAAAGGTAAGTCTACAAGAGGCTAACTCAGGCAGGGAAGAGGAGAAGGTGTTGTGTGACACATCTAGGCTGGTATCTGATCCAGAGTTGAGAAGGGCCAGGAAACGGGGCTAGAATCCGAAGTCCAGACAAAGAGTCTGTAGTCTGTACACACTGCGCCAAAAGGTGAGAAACTGGGCAATGCAAACTTAAGATCTAGACAGCAGGTATGAGTAATAATAACCATGCCCTGGAATATGATAAGAGAATATGAAGAGTCGAGAACTCTCGCTCTAGCATGTGTCTCTGGCTAGAAGTGGTCCCAATGGATAGATGTGCCTATACATCCACAGGTGCTGGGCATATGCCTGATATGGTAAAAATGAGGAAGCAAAGAAGGGAAGAGCAAAGCAACTACTGACTTACTAATTAATTTAGATCATTTTGTGTCCAATACACAAAAAATGCCTGTCACATAAACTAGTGTCATACATAAATGAGTTGTAGGGTTTTTATATTATGCCAAATAATTGACCATATTTTTAGTATCTTTATATACACTGAATTATCAATGGCTTTAAATCTAGTACTGAAGTGTATCTAATTACATGGTTGTTTTTGTTGTTGTTAGGTGCCGTCAAGTCAGCCCTGACTCATAGCGGCCCCTCCTTGAGTTGCCAAGGCAGTATCACTACGGAAGTAGATTGCCCAACCTTCCTTCCGAGGAGTGGCTGGTGGGTTTGAACTGCCAGCCTTCTGATCAGCAGTGAAGTACCTTAGGCACTATGCTACCAGAGCTCCTAATTACATGGTTACAGGTTTTAAATAACATTGTAAATGATGCTGGATGTACCAGAAGGCATCTAGCCCCCTAACTTCTAGCTCAGTGCTGTCCAAGGGAAAAACCATGTGAGCAACATATGTAATTCAAAAATTTTTAATAGTCACCTTATAAACAGGTAAAATTTTTATTTAATACAAAATATAAAACATGACTTCAATATGTACATTCAATAAAAAACTAGAATATTTTACATTTTTTCCACACCAAGTCTTCATAATCCGTTTGCATTTTACACTCACGGCACACCTCCCTTCAGATGAGCCACAGTTCAAGCACTCAACAGCCACATGCAGTGGAAAATGTAGTTCCAGTATTTCTTTTTCAGAATATATGGAATACCAGCTTAGGAAAACAAAGTACTACCAATGTACTTACACCCATGTTTTCTAAAGAAGAAATAGCAAGACAAAGCAAAATAATTCAACAATGTAGAAGTAGAAATTTTTTCAATTATAAAAACTGATACAGATGTGCTTCTAATATTATATAATGGTAAAGAAGCTGGCAACTCTTTTAACTATAATTTTATTTGGGACATAGGCTAACAAAGAACAAATTTAGAACTCAATATATTTGCAAATGCCCAACTCTTTTCTGAATCATAACAGCTCATGGCTGATAACAAAATGGACTAGGAACTTCCCTCTGCAAACATGCCATTTATGAAGAAGAAATGACTAATCCAGGAGTCTTGGTAGAGGAATGGGTGAAGCGTCCTTCTACTAACCAAAAGCTGGGTGTTTCAAACCTGCCAGGGGCTCTGCAGGAGTGCTTTACTCCCATAAAGATTATAGCCTAGGAAGCACGGATCTATAGGTAGACAGATGGGTGGACAGGCTGAACAATCAGGTATGTCTAGGTGTGTCCATGACCATGTGTAAAGTTACCAGACAATATTGCTACATGCATATCTGTATGAGCTGTAAGAATGTCTGGGTGTATAGCAGAGGTGACAAGAGATGAGGTTGTGGTAGCTTCTTGGCCACAGCCAGCTATCTGGAGGGAGCAAGTAGTTGGACCTGTGGGCTCAGGACCATGGTCACAGGGAACATCAAGCTCAAAAGGCATAACATACTACACAAAAACACTGTTCTACTTCCTACTTTGGTGAGTAGTGACTAGGGTCTTAAAAGCCTGCAAGCAGCCATCTAGATGCAACAATGGGTCTCTCTTCATCCAGAGCAAAGAAGAATGAAGAAAACCAAAGATGCATGGAAACAATTAGTCCAAGGGACCGGCAGACCATGAAATCTTCAGCCTGTATGACCACGAGACCAGAAAAATTAGATGGTGCCCAGCTACCACTCTCAACCACTCAGAGAAGGATTGGTGCAGGAGATCCTGGATAAAGTGGGAGAACAATGTGAAACAAAACTCAAATCATAAAAAAGACCAGGTTTGCTGGTGATAGAGCCTGGGAGACTCCTGAGACGATGGCCCTTACTTATCCTTCAGCTCTGGAACTGAACTTACTCCTGTGGCTTTCAGTCAAACAGACAAGCATATGGGGTGAACATTTATGTCAGATAGATATACTCCTTGGAGCAATCAATCATGGGAGAACAGAAGGGCAGTGTTTGTACAGGGAGACAGCTCGGGGGGCAGGAGTACATGGGACAGAAGGACACAAGGAAAAGTTAACTATGGGGAGGAAGTGGGAAGAGAGCTGTTACATAGTGGGGAATTGCAGTCAATGCATGAAACAAAATGTGGATGAAATGCTATATAGGAAAATGAATTTGCTCTGTAAACTTTCACCCAAATCACAGTAAAAATTAAAGACAAAAAAAAGATTATAGCCTAGGAAACCCTCTGGGGCATTCCACTCTGTCACATGGGGTTGCTATTGAGTCAAGATCAACTAGACAGCAATGAGATTAAGTGGGAAATCAACGCTGTAGCCCACAACAACAACAACGATGACTTTTCCACTATTTGTCATTTATCATTCCTTCTTTTCATTAATATGGAATCCAACTCAGTAATTCTGGGGCAGAGAACTGCCAGACACAGGCTTTGGATGGGGTGGGGAAGTGGTCATGAAATATAAATGAGACAAGAATAGGAAAGGATCATTTACTGCTAGAGAAAAAGGATCACCTCTCTGAATATTTTTTAAAGCTCAGAACCTTTTTTGAGGATGATTAAATTAACCTTATAGTTTTACCTACAAGAAAAAATTCATTACCTGAGTAATCTACAATGTGTGTTGGAACTCTCTCAGGGGTAACATCAGCTGGAATGGTGATTTCTTCTGCCCGGGGAGGAACCTTAGTTTGCAAACAAATATAGAAAAGAAAAGTGCTTTGGATATTATCATACTTATTAACAGACTATATAAATTTATTTATATTAACTCCTTTCACCCATATCTATCCTTATAGATATTTGCTGTACTTTTAAATGTGTATTTTTGTGGTTTACCACAGATGTAAATATGTATTAAAACTACATTATAACATGCCTTTGGGGGGGGGGGAACAGGCACATATCTATGTGTGCAGACACAGGCATACTAAGAATGCTTCAGATCTGACACAGCCTAAAGCAGTATTTGAATTAGTTTGTGATTTCAAATATTAAGTTTTGAAGGTTCAAGACAACTTAATCCAAGACAATACCCAAATGAACCAAAAAATTAGCAAAATTAATTTCTTCTAGATGACAATTAATTGGCTATATAAAGGCTTTATGACTAGCATTTTTAGAAAGATTGTATGATTTTTCCATCAACTACCAAAAAATCAAAACCAAACCGACTGACATTGGGTTGATTCTGACTCATAATGACCCTAGAAACTCCTTATCGACAATGCTAAAACAATTCAAACTAAGTTAAACTATCAAAAGAAATGTTTAAATATT